ATGGTGTTGTGATGGTTAAAGAGGCAGAGGGGGGGGGGCGGGGGGGGGGGGGGGGGGGGGGGGTGTTGAGCAGTTAGTATTGATCTGCATGGACGATTTATGCTGCCATCATCAGAGCGCTTTAAAGTACAGGATCATACGTGTCACCGTGGCAACACACGGGCTCCTTTAGAAATCTGATCAATCCTTGAGCCACCTGACAAAATCACATCCACTTCATCAAAGGCCCCTAGTATGCAGAACATGAGTGTGTTCGATCACTTAAAAACGTCTGACGGATCAGTGAGGGTATCAGACGGTAGTACAAAAACATTAAAAAATAGATAGAAAACTATCTAACGAGATATTAAACAATTTAAATGACTTTTTAAACTATTTTATTTTGGAGTAATGATGATTACATTAATCTGATTAATTAATTGATTAATAATTATGTTTTATTTTCAGTTTCGTTTTCTGATTAATTAAAACTTTGGTGTTTCGGTTAAAAAAAATAGTTTAGGTGCATCACTAGTAATATTATTACTACAGTATTTTGATATAAAGTATGTATAACGCTAAAATATATGGCCTGGAAAAGTCAGAAAAATAAATCAAAATTGTAAAAAATAATAATAATAATAAAAAGAAAACTAATGCTGATAAATTCTATATCCACATTAGAATAAAAAAAAAATTATATATAAATAAATATATATATATATATATATATATATATATATATATAAATATTTGTATATTTTTATTTATGCTGCAAAGAAAAAGCTCTCTTGCCAGTTTTTATTTGGGTGTTGATTATTAAATTATTTTGATTAATTAAACGATTATAAAATTAACTTTATATTTGTTTTTGGTTTTCAGCTAAACGAAAACTTTAATTTCAGTGTTTTGGTAAAAAATTTATTTCGGTGCCATTATTTTCATTATGAAAATAAATCAAAATTTCTGAAAAAGTCTTTTAAATTTCTATAGTTGATATACATTTTTTTTATTTATGCTACGAATAAAAAGCTATCTCTGATCTGAATAAAAACTTACATTTTGATTTAGGTGTTTCTATAAAACAACAATTTCAGTGCATCACTAGTATTAAAAAAAAAAAAATAATAATAATATATATATATATATGAAGTTTATTTGCAAAAACAGATAACTCACTTTTTTTCAATTTTCAAAAATCATGTTTTTTATTATGTTATGTTTTCATTGTGTTTTATTGTGTTAGTTTAACCTAATCAAAATAACCCAACTGCAGTTTGATTGAAATTAATTGGAATGCACAATGAAAAAACATGATTTTTGAAAATGGTTAAAAACAGAGTTATCTGTTTTTGCAAATGAACTCTTCATATGCTGTATATATGAATAATAAAACAAAAAATACCATGGCACTTAAATGCACTGCACAGTATACCGTGGTATTCCCATCATAGTAGTGTCCATACAAAGCATGTTTTGCATGTTATGTTACTGTGATGCTGCAGTAGTGTGAGTGTGTATGAACACACACCGTTTGGTCGGTCAGCGGCGGCAGGACGATGGTTTTCTCCATGGTGTTCATCACCAGCTTCCACAGCTCCTTCAGCACTCGCTTGAGAACCGTCTTCTCACAGATCTTAGCAAACAGAGTCAGACTGAGAGAAGAAGAAACCTCATCAAACATCCTCGTTATTAATAACACAGAAACTAACAAGTGCAAAGTCACAGTGTTTATCATTTACATTTAGTTCATTAAAAAAACTACAACTAAAATAAATAATATAATAAAAACTACACAGACTTAAAAAACCTACTTAAACTACTTAAAAATATTAATAACCCAAACTATAGTATTATCTCAATGATACTAAAATACTACGGATTACAGGCCTGATCTGTTTATTTACACTATTTATTTATCAAAATATTGCTTGTGTGTAGCCTAATTAATATTCATGAGCGATGCCATATTCAACATCTGTCCCAACCACTTAAAGTGACGTCCATTAAATATTTAGTTTCACATTCACATGAGACATTTACTGTCGTTTATTTTTATTCTTTGTATTCTGAGTAAGCCTTTGTTCCAATTTAATCCTGACACTGTAAATAAAATACATGTTTTTGAGTCAGTTAAATACTGTTCTGATTTTATAAATAAATCACATAATCTGGCGGCTACTAATATTTTAAAAATATTGTATTGTTAAAAAGATATTGTGACCAGTATCACTTAATTTATTATTACTTAATATAAATAGTTTTTCAAATTGACAAATAAACAGACATTTGTTAATTCTTGTTAAAAATGTAGGTAAACACAACAATAAAAAAAAATGAAACTTTTAAAATTGCATGTTAATTTTTTTATTTAATTTTGTATTTTAATTTTACTTTTTATTTCAAATGGTTAATGCATGTTTAATATGTAGGTAAACATAAAATAAAAGAAAATGTTTTTTAATGCAACTTTTAAAATTGCATGTTATTTTTTTTATGCATTTAAAATTGTTAATTCACATTTAAATATAGGTAAACATAAAAATAATAATAATACGTTTTTTAATGCAACTTAAAAATGCATGTTCATTGTTTATTTTTATTTTGTATTTTTATTTCAAATGGTTAATGCCTGTTTAATATGTAGGTAAACATAAAATTTAAAAAAAAAAGTTTTTTAAAAAAATGTCAATTTTTTTACTTTAAAAAAATTTGTATTAAAATTGTGCATTCATGTGTGAACTGTACATAAACAATAGAATAAAAAATTTAATTTTATTTGGCATGTTCACGTGTTAAAAATGTCATCTGGCAGTGGATGCAACCAATCACTGAACACGTTGCTTCTAGTCATCTATACTAGTGTAGTCAGTTTAGCTAGTTTTAATTACGAGAAGCTCAAAGCCTGAACAAACTGCAGTTTTGGTGTCGCTCACTTGCTGTCCAGGAAGTCCATGATGGGCTGCAGGACGTTGTCGGCGTCCTGTGCTAAGCTGCCGTTGCCGTTAGCAGGTACGTTTGCTCCTTTCACCTGACTGAGAATATCTCCCATCTGCTTCACGCTCTCCTCGATGTGCGGCTGGAAACTGCAGACACACGGCAGGATTATCTTTATATTCCTTTTTCAAATAAACACCGTTCATCAAAGATTCCACAAAAATATTAACTGTTTTCAACATTGATAATAATCTGAAATGTTTCTTAATCAGCATATTATACTGATTTCTGAAGATCATGCGACACTGAAGACTGGAGGAATGATGCTGAAAATACAGCTGCGCATCACAGAAATACATTACAGTTATTTTAAATTGGAATAATATTTCATTTTTTTCTGTATTTTTGATCAAATAAACGCAGCCTTGGTGAGCAGAAGAGACTCTTTCAAAAACAATACAACAGAATTATCTTCCAGATTATCTTTGCACAGAATTCAGCTGTTAAAATTAAAAATAATAATAATAATTTAGTTACAATACTACAATAAAATGTCTCTATGGAGAACATTAATGGGATTTTTACTTATAGAACATGACTGTTGCACTTTATTAACCCTGTAAATACACCAAAACCCCAAACTAACCTCACGGCAAAAATCCGGCTGAGATCATCCATCACATTGTTCAGCTTGACTTGAAGATCCTTCAGAAAGTCACTGGCCTCCACGTTTAACTGCAAGAACAAAAAACATAATTATGAGTCCGACTTGTTTTTACGAGTTGAATCTTGCTCAGCTGAGATTTAAAAGACAATTAATATTCAGTAATATTATGGATTAGACGGCACTGACACAAGTGTTATTTTAGTATCAATGAGATGCTATTATAGTTTTTAATCATTTGAACTAGTGCTGTCAAACGCATCCAAAATAAAAGTTTTTGTTTGCATAATATATGTGTGTATAATGTGTATATTTATTATGTATATATAAATACACACACATGCATGTATTTAAGAAAAACATGTTTTGTTTATATATAAAATATTTATATATAATATAAATTATATTTGAATAGAAATATATAAATATTTTTAAAATATATATACATGCATGTGTGTGTATTTAACCTTTATTTTGGATGTGATTAATCACGATTAATCGTTTGACAGCACTAGTTAGAATTAGTTTAAATTTTTATATTTTCTGTTCTTATTTTAATATTGTTAAAGTTTTAGTAATTTGTTGTATGCTTTGTCATTTTATTAGCTTTTTTTTTTTTTTAACATGTTCATATAGTTTTTATTTTTTATTTCAGTTTTAGTTTTAGTAATTTTAGTACTTTTATAGTTTTTTATTAATAGTTTGTTTTAATACTTCAATACTTATTTTTATATTTTCAGTTTTTATTTACATTTTTGTTAAAATTGTTAGTATTTTAATTTTAGTTTTAGTATTTTATTTATTTTTATTATTTTTTAAATTTTAGTTTTCTATATATACATATATATATATATATATATATATATATATATATATATATTTGTTTATTTCAGTCAACATGTATTTTAAGATTTAAAGTAAGAAAGATAAAGATTAACTATAATCCTGACTGACCCTATTGGATGAGAACAAAACTTGAACTGAATTGATACTTTTGTTTTAAATTTGTTTCATTTGCAACATTTACACTGTTACTTGAACTGAATTAAATCAACATCGAACTGAACTGAGCTAAATAATGACACTCTTGTCTTCAGTAGAGCTGCTTTACAGTTTTGTTTCATAACTGATGAAGTTTAAAACATTAACGCTGTCATTTTCTTGTTAATTAATGTGAAACTGCTTTGAAACAATCTGTATTGTATACAAATGAATGCGACTTGACTGATGACATCCTGCCACTCGTTCCAGCCAATGGCATCTGTTTAAAACTGAGGCTCCGCCCACACTGTGAAATCCAGCGAATCTTTTTAGTATGTGCTGAAAACGCTGTTAATTTATTGAATATTCAGTGAATAATTTCTATTAAAGCTCATCCACATTTATAACACATTCGAATTATGCACTACGTCATGAATATTCATACATGCGACTGTTTGTCAGGGAGCATTTATGATATCGCTCATAAATGATGCATGACGTCAGTGCAAATGCTGTGAGAAAGCAAGAATAATGAGTTGTCCGGCAAACAGGCAGTAAAACAGAAATGAGTCAGAGATGGAGCGTGGGATGTTTAACTGCTGGATGACTCAGAAGAGAATGAGGGAACGGATGGGATGATCAATAGATGGATGGATAATAGAAAAGTTACTAAATGAGAGAGATTTATAGATGAAAACAGAGGGAAGAGATTCTGTTATTTAATAAAGGAATGAAAACAATATAAAGACGATTGAATTTTACAGGTGTGTTAGATTTAAATGTTGTAATGTGCTATTTATTGAAAGTATTTACTGACAAATGCAACATCGCTTCTACATGATGCAGATACAGAGGACTATGAAATGAAGTGAGATGTTTTTACACTGTATGTGAGTAACAAGATCTCATTTGCACTGCCATATACACTATTAAAGGTTTGGGGTCAGCAGGATTTTTTTTTTTCTTAAAAATTGCATTAAAGTAACAGTAAAGGCATCTGTAATGTTACAAAAGTTTGGTTTAAAAATGACATAAACATTTATAATACTAAAAATATTGCATAACGTTAAAAAGGCATTAAGTATTTTTTTTTTAAATTGGTTGTTCAAAAGTTTGGGCTCTTTTTTTTTTTAAAGAAATTATTTATTTTATTCAGAAAGGACACGTTAAAATAATCAAAAACAAAAACACAATCGCTTCTACATGATGCAGATACAGAGGACTATGAAATGAAGTGAGATGTTTTTACACTGTATGTGAGTAACAAGATCTCATTTGCACTGCCATATACACTATTAAAGGTTTGGGGTCAGCAGAATTTTTTTCTTTCTTAAAAATTGCATTAAAGTAACAGTAAAGGCATCTGTAATGTTACAAAAGTTTGGTTTAAAAATGACATAAACATTTATAATACTAAACATATTGCATAACGTTAAAAAGGCATTAAGTATTTTTTTTTAAAATTGGTTGTTCAAAAGTTTGGGCTCTTTTTTTTTAAAGAAATTATTTATTTTATTCAGAAAGGACACGTTAAAATAATCAAAAGTGACAGTGAAGACATTCATAATGTTACAAAATATCTCTATCTCAAATAAATGCTGTTCTTTTGAAATTTCTATTCATCTGTGAATCCTGAAAAATAAAATATATCACGGTTTCCACAAAAAATATTGAGCAGCACGACTGTTTTCAACATGCTGAAAATACAGCTGCGCATCACAGAAATATATTACACTTTAACAGATATTCACATAGAAAACAGTTATTTTAAATTGTAATAATATTTCACAATTTTTACTGTATTTCTGATCAAATAAACGCAGCTTAGGTGAGCAGAAGGGACTTCTTCCAATATGATATGAATACTAACAATTACGTTCTGAAAGCTGCAGTAGCGGGCAAGATTTTAACTTAAATTTGTGCTCAGAAAACTGTACAGACCACTTTTATGCTACTTTTCGGTGAACTATTTCCTTAAGATGGCATGTTTTAAAGAGTTAAAGCGTGCATGAACTCACGTCTTTCCCTCCCATGGCCTCAAACATCTTCTCCAACTGGACTCGCAGCTGCTGGATATTATTAATAATGATGCAAGGCTGAAAATAACAGAAAGAGGAGGTCGAGCGACATTAACGCACACACATATATATACACACGCTATTAAAAGAAATCCCTGCAGCAATAAAAAGTGAGGAATAGTGCTAAATGTGACAGTTTCATTAAGTGCTGTGAGCTGAATGAGTCTCGCTAGATCATTATATGTGTGTGTTTTCTTCCTCTTGAGAGCCATTTAAAGCCAGTCAGCTAATTACTGTATGACTCACACACACACTTTATTATGAGCCGCATGTACCCTTTTAATGTAATATGTGACCCTGGAGCACAAAAGCAGTGTTAAGTCGCTGGGGTATATTTGTAGCAATAGCCAACAATACATTGTATGGGTCAAAATTATAGATTTTTCTTTTATGCCAAAAATCATTAGGATATTAAGTAAAGATCATGTTCCATGAAGATATTTTGTAAATTTCCTACCGTAAATATATCAAAACTTAATTTTTGATTAGTAATATGCATTTCTAAGAACTTCATTTGGACAACTTTAAAGATGATTTTCTCAATATTTAGATTTTTTTTGCACCCTCAGATTCCAGATTTTCAAATATTTGTATCTCAGCCAAATATTGTCAGATCCTAACAAACCATACATCAATGGAAAGCTTATTTATTCAGCTTTCAGGTGATGCATAAATCTCAATTTCACTAAATGGACCCTTATGACTGGTTTTGTGGTCCAGGGTCACATATTATAAATGTAAATGCATTACTGTGACGCACCACTTTCTCCTTCTTGCAGTGAGTTGGAAAATCCTTGGCAATGATGTCGGCATAAGACAGAAGAACATTTCCAATGGTCTGAAAGAGAGAAAAAGTCACATGATTTGAAGAGTCATTCATATCTCTCACACGTCGAAGGACGCCGAACACACGGAGATGTTTCACTCATCCTAAATACTGTGAGTGCAATAATAATAGAGATGCTTGACTTCACCTTAGCAAACCTCTTCATGTAATTCCCAACGATCTGAGGATCAGGACACTCCAACTTCCTGATGATCTCGAAGCTCTGGTTGAGCTGAGAAAAGACATCCACCACCGAACAGGAGAAGAGCGCGTGCTCCGACGTCTGCTGGAACTGATGGGAGAAACCATCAAGATAAAAGAGCACTGTTTAATTCAATTTGGCTTCACCAGGTGGGGTTTAAATAAAAAAACTAAATGAATTACTTACTAAAAAAAGATCAAACATTTTATTTGTTTGTCTGTGCATGTCAAGTGAGTATTAACTGACATAAGAGAGCCGTTAACATGCAAATGTGACGATAAATTATTAAAATATTAACTTATTTTAGATCAAAAGGGTTCAAAAGGGAAGTACTGGTTTAAAAATGACAAACATCAGTCTAAACAACACTAGACATGTTGCAAAAAAGCTAAAAATGGTCTGAGGAAGTCCCATCATTACCAATGCATACATTATATATTTAAAAAAAAAAAGTATTATATTATATTTTTAGTTGTTCAAAAGTTTGGGGTCAGCAAGATTTTTATTTATTTATTTTTTTGAAATAAATGATTTCTTTTATTCATCAACGATGCATTAAATCGCTCAAAAGTGGCAGTAAAGACATTTATAATGTTACAAAAGACTTCTATCCCAAATAAATGCTGTTCTTTTGAACTTTCTGTTCATCTGTGAATCCTGAAAAATAAAATGTATCAGTTTCCACAAAAATATTCTGAATTGAACTGTTTTCAACATTGATAATAATCAGAAATGTTTCTTGAGCAGCAGATCAGCATATGAATTTAAATTGTATTTATTTACAGAGGTATATTATGTTTCACTTCACGCTTCTCTAGTAAGTTTCGTTTGTGTGTGAAGACGCTGCAGACAGCGGCGGAGCAGCGCAAATCTGTAAATGAATATTCCGAAGTGAAGTAAACTTCAACGGATTTCCCCTGCTCAGGGAGTAGGGAGCAATGCACACTGTGTAGGGAGCATGTCAATCTGAACACAGTTCATGCACGGAGCTCACTTCTAACGAGATGATGATCTGAATCAGGTGTGTTAACAAAGAGAGACGTGCAAAACATGCAGAGCGGGGGAACGTGAGGCTTCTTGCAGTGAGTTGGAAAATCCTTGGCAATGATGTCGGCATAAGACAGAAGAACATTTCCAATGGTCTGAAAGAGAGAAAAAGTCACATGATTTGAAGAGTCATTCATATCTCTCACACGTCGAAGGACGCCGAACACACGGAGATGTTTCACTCATCCTAAATACTGTGAGTGCAATAATAATAGAGATGCTTGACTTCACCTTAGCAAACCTCTTCATGTAATTCCCAACGATCTGAGGATCAGGACACTCCAACTTCCTGATGATCTCGAAGCTCTGGTTGAGCTGAGAAAAGACATCCACCACCGAACAGGAGAAGAGCGCGTGCTCCGACGTCTGCTGGAACTGATGGGAGAAACCATCAAGATAAAAGAGCACTGTTTAATTCAATTTGGCTTCACCAGGTGGGGTTTAAATAAAAAAACTAAATGAATTACTTACTAAAAAAAGATCAAACATTTTATTTGTTTGTCTGTGCATGTCAAGTGAGTATTAACTGACATAAGAGAGCCGTTAACATGCAAATGTGACGATAAATTATTAAAATATTAACTTATTTTAGATCAAAAGGGTTCAAAAGGGAAGCACTGGTTTAAAAATGACAAACATCAGTCTAAACAACACTAGACATGTTGCAAAAAAGCTAAAAATGGTCTGAGGAAGTCCCATCATTACCAATGCATACATTATATATTTAAAAAAAAAAAGTATTATATTATATTTTTAGTTGTTCAAAAGTTTGGGGTCAGCAAGATTTTTATTTATTTATTTTTTTGAAATAAATGATTTCTTTTATTCATCAACGATGCATTAAATCGCTCAAAAGTGGCAGTAAAGACATTTATAATGTTACAAAAGACTTCTATCCCAAATAAATGCTGTTCTTTTGAACTTTCTGTTCATCTGTGAATCCTGAAAAATAAAATGTATCAGTTTCCACAAAAATATTCTGAATTGAACTGTTTTCAACATTGATAATAATCAGAAATGTTTCTTGAGCAGCAGATCAGCATATTATACTGATTTCTGAAGATCATGTGACACTGAAGACTGGAGTAATGATGCTGAAAATACAGCTGCGCATCACAGAAATACATTACAGTTTAACAGGTATTCACATAGAGAACAGCTACTTTAAATTGTAATAATATTTGGCAATAATACTGATTTTACTGTATTTTTCATCAAATAAATGCAGCCATGGTGAGCAGAAGAGACTTCTTTGAAAAACATTTAAAGGGGTCCTATTATGCGTTTTCACTTTTTTAATTTTAGTCAGTGTGTAGTGTGTATGTTTGGGCATAAAAAAGATCTAGAAAGTTACAAATCTCAAAGTCCACTCCAAAGGGAGATATTTCGTTTTTTAAAAATCCATTTTCAGATTGAGAACCGCTGGTCTAGAACAATTCTTACAAGTACAACATGACGTAGCTGGGAGCCGCGAACAGATGCCGAACGGAGCCGCCCGTGTGCCTACACTCATAGAAAATAAAGTATTTGAATTTTAAAGACGTGACGCGATGCTGCGCTTCTCGTCCGGTGCGCGACCGCCTGAAATGCTGTTTTTTTCACCTCCGTGCCCAAACGTCTTTGTTTGGGCTTCCGAAAGCGGATGATGTCAGGAAACAGTGGGTGCAATTTACTTTTTGGGACAGCTAACCAATCACAACACATTTTGATTTTCGGAAGGCGGAGCTTCATCAAAGCCGGAACTAATCGAGCCGTTTATGCCAGCCTGGGGAGAGAGGTATTTTAATAATGTAAATTATGTGAAAAATAATGTGTTTTTCGAACCACCAAGCATGAGAGCATGTTCTAGTACACCCCCAAAACAAAATCAAGACTTTGTAAAAGAGCATAATAGGACCCCTTTAAAATGATACAATTTCAGTAGCATATGTCGATACACGTCCCATCTTTAATTGTAATTTTAGGCATCACTTGCCATGTTTTTAATGCAATATGCAATATGCATCATACAGTCCTTATATATATATATATATGTGTGTGTGTGTGTGTGTGTGTGTGAGTGTTTTACGGTAATTGGACTCTAAAGACAGATGGAGGTGTTAAACTCTCCTCTGTGTATCATAACATCTCACTACTAAAAATACGACAATATACCCTTGATATTTACCCCGTCCTTTGCGTCCCTGACCAGAGCGCCGTGCAGAAAATCTCTAGATACTTCCTCATTCTCATCCAGCCACAGGATCACGAAGGGCTCAAACCAGCTATAAAAACAAAGATGAAGCAGTTCCGACACTGTATGCTGCATGCACATTTTTTGTATGCATGCAATGCCTTTATGACCATTGCATTTAATACTTAGTGTTAGGAGTTTGATCAAGTCACTAACTCTAAATATGAGTGCTAGTAATAGTAACGTTTGACTAGAAACAGCTCTTACGCTGGATACTCCGGCACACGGTCCTGGAAATACGGCAGCTCCTTGCAGTATTCGTTGTAGAGCCACTTCACCTTGAAGTGCAGGTTCATGTAATCGGCGCTCTTGCACAGCCTGTGTTTCTCGTGTTCTGAGAGACAGGAAGCACATCACACACAAGATATTGATCACAGACGTGACTATAAGACTGTTTTCACACTTGATTGCTTGATCAGAAGTAGACTTTGATTCCAGCCCTTTTAACACTCGCTTTATTTATTTAATTATTATTATTATTAGAAAAATGCAATTAAATATTGCATACGAACCTTTAAAAATTACAATAGAACTAAAACTACATTAGAAAAGAAGTGAAAAGAGAAAAAAGTAAATAAATAATACAAATAAATAATAGATTTAGAATTATCTATAATTAATAGATAAATTAAATTAAACACCTCAAGACAGAAATTCACACAAACCTCTAACTGCAACAGAACTAAAACATAACGTAACATTAACATAAATAACAAATGAATAATATATTAAATAAAAATAAATAATAGAAAAATATACTTAAACATCTCAATAGCATTAGAAGAAGTGAAGAGAGAGAGAAAAGTAAATACATAATAAATAAAAAAATAAAAAAATACACTTTAACATAACATAACCTCAAATTACTACAGAACTAAAAACATCACATTAAGCAGTAAAGAGAGAGAAAAAGTTAATAAATAAAAAAAGTATAATAAATAAATAGAAACATTACAGTAACAGAAAAATAAATAAAATAAATAAGTACATAAAAATAATAAATAAATACAATGATATATGTGACCCTGGACCACAAAACCATTCATAAGGGTCAATTTTTCGATGTTATGATAAGACAATATTTGGCCGAGATACAACTATTTGAAAATCTGGAATCTGAGGGTGCAAAAAAATCTAAATATTGAGAAAATCATCTTTAAAGTTGTCCAAATGAAGTTCTTAGCAATGCATATTACTAAACAAAAATTAAGTTTTGATATATTTACGGTAGGAAATTTACTAAATATCTTCATGGAACATGATCTTTACTTAATATCCTAATGATTTTTGGCATAAAAGAAAAATCGATAATTTTGACCCATACAATGTATTGTTGGATATTGCTACAAATATACCCCAGCGACTTAACACTGCTTTTGTGCTCCAGGGTCACAAATGTGCATTCACACACATATAAAAATATACATTAAAAAAATAACATTTTAACAAGAACCTCCCTACTTAATAGATCTGTCATTTTTTCAGTTTCTCATACGAGAGGCAACATTTGTCAGAGGTTTAGTGTTCAGTCGGTTTTACCTTCCATCGCGTACTTCATATCCTGAGCAAACATGTTCCACATCACCTCCGCACTGATCTTTCCCACGTTCAGCTCCTGAGGGAACCTGCAGGAGGAAGACAGGCAGGACTTACGGGTATATTTCTCTCCATTTCCTTCATATCAGTTATATAACTTGCTTTCGTTATTGTATCTTACTGTAACCATTCTGTTTCAGGTTTTTAAAGGAATATTCTGGAGTACTGTAATGTTAAACCCCATTATCTCGGGTCTGAACACACACTCACTGGTTCAAGCAGGGCGTGTAAGAGTTCTTGTCCTCCTCTATAATGGAAACGATGAGGGTGATGAGTTTGGACCAGAAGTCCAGGTTCTTAATACTCGGCCCCTGTTCTTCAGGAGGAACCATCTTCGACTAGATATGAACACAGACGAGAGCGATACGTTCAAGTCAAGTACACTAATACAAGCAAACCACAACATAAGATGCACTGTAAAAACAGATGTTCTTCCTCAGTATTTTTGCTATGTTTTCCAGTAAAAACATGTAAACATTTCTAAATCGAGATGCATTTACTTGAGATGCTAAATGACATAAGATGAGAAGTCTTGTTTTTGGAGAGATTGATGAAAATGGACAAAAAATATATAGTAGAAAAGTAGAGAAGGAGAGTTTGATTCTAACCCTTTATTTTTATTTATTATCTTTATTTATTCATTTATTTTTAATTATCATTAGATAAATGCAAATTAAACATCTTAAGACAGAGATTCACACAACTTTAAATTACAATAGAGCTAAAATATAACATTAGAAAAGAGACAAAAAATAAGTATAAAAATAATAAATCATATAATAAAATAAAAAACAAATATAATAGAAAAATACAATTAAACATCTCAAGACAGACCTCAAACCTCAAATTACAACAGAACTAAAAGCATACAATTTATAAAAGAAGGTGAGAGAAAAAAAAGATAAATAAATGAAACAAATATATAAATAAATCAGAAAAATACATTTAAATATTTTAAGACAGAAATTTAAACAAACCTCAAATTACAACAGAACTAAAACATAACATTAGAAAAGAAAAAATAATAATAAAATGGGGTCAAATAAAAACAAGTCAAAGGGAAAATAAGTTTCAGCAGAAGCTTGCTTCATTTTGATTAGATTTCTCAGAAAACAAGGCTTCTTATTTTGTCATTTTGTGTAGTAAACATATCTTGATTTAAGCATGTTTACATATTTCTTTCCATCATTTTGTAGTTTCTCAAGCAGCAGTCATGCAGTTTACGGTTACTGAGAAAAACCATTTACACAAATTGTCAATTAAAAAAATTATGCAGAGAGCACGCAAGAATGCTTGCTGTGCATACGGCCCATTATCATCTAAGATCTACACACACACACACACACACACACACACACACACACACATCAGGAGCATCAGTCAGTGCTCCGGTTATGAGGTGTCAAAAACTCCAGACGTGTCTTCCATCTTACTAATAAAGTTCTGCAGTGAAAGTGCAGAGAGAGAGAGCGAGGGGGATAAACACACGTCACACTGCGCTTCTTCTCCATTCATAACTGCCACAACACCTCCACCATAATCAATATTTCATTTTCCACGAGAAGAACCTCAGTGCTCGTGGCGCTCTGCCTTTGAATTACTAAACAGCATCAAATCAGCATGAAGAGACAAACACAAACTCATTCAGTCCAGAGTGACGCTCGCCGTTAAACCGAAGCTTCCAAGAGAACATTCAAAAGTGTAAAAGTTCAAAACATTTGAAAGTTTCCAAAAGATTTTCTATGGCATTTTCTATTTTCTATGGCATTTAAAACACACACACACACACACGTACTCACTGGGTCATTCTGGTATTCCCGGCTGTAGAGCTCATGGCAGTTATTAAAGATGTACTCGTACGTTGAGTTGAGACACGCTTTCACACAGTCTTTAACAACTTGACTCGCTCTCGGTGGACTCTGCAGCTCCTGGACCTGAAAACACATACAACAGTTATTCATTTATTAATTTTTTATTTATTTACTTGTTTTTTCTCGTCTAATTTTATGTTTGAGTTCAGCTGAAAATTAAGGTTTGTTTGAATCTGTCTTGAGATGTTTCACTATATTTTCAAAACAATTATTTATTTATTTTTATTTATAATATTATTATCATTATTACCATTATTATTTGTGATGCTTTTTTATTTATTTCTGATGTAAATTAAGGTTTGTTTGAATCTGTCTTGAGATGTTTCACTGCATTTTTAAAATAATTATTTATTTTTATTTATTACATTATTTTTTTATCATCTTTATTATTTGTGATTTATATTTTTTATTTTTTCTCTCGTCACTTCTTTTCTAATTTTACGTTTTAGTTCTGTTGCAAATTGAGGTTTGTTTGAATCTGTCTTCAGATGTTTCACTGCATTTTTAAAATAATTATTTATTTATTTTTATTTATTAAATTATTTATGATCATCATTATTATTTGTGATTTATGATTTTATTAATTTTTTTCTCTCTTTGCTTGAATCTGTCTTGAGATGTTAAATTATTTTTACAAATTATTTATCAATATTATTTTTATTTCATATTTAATTAAATTAAAGGCCTATACATGTTGCTGAAAATTATATACTACTCAAAAAGCATATGTCATTAAATCATTTAAGATCTGTCACCAGAACAAACCTTCATCCTGAAGAAAGTGATGCTGGTCAGAAGATCTACAGTGGACTTCAGATCCTGCAACCTCTCAGGACTGCTGGCTGGGAAATTATTCTGAAACACGAACACACAACTGTTACAAACACAGACACACACTCCACAACACAACTCTTCAGAACTCAGTAGATATAGAGGTCACTGTATCAGTGTAGAGTATATATTACTGAATATGTGAACAAACCCTGTACATAGAGAGGTCTATCCTCAGAGAGTTGTGCAGTTGATCCAACAGTTTCACAAACCGCTCTTTCTGCAAAAAATAATTGACATATGTAAAATACACATTATGGCGCAAAAGTTTGTTTTTGAAAGAAGTCTCTTCTGCTCACCAAGGCTGCATTTATTTAAACAAAAATACAGTAAAAAGAGTAAAATATTCTTATCTTACAATTTAAAATAACTGTTTTCTATGTGAATATCTATTAAAATGCAATTAATTCCTGTGATGTAAAGCTGAATTTTCAGCTTCATTACTTCAGATTTCAGTGTCACATGATCTTCAGAAATCATTCTAATATGCTGATTTGCTGCTCAAGAAACATTTCTGATTATTATCAATGTTGAAAACAGTTCATATTTTTGTGGAAACAATGATACATTTTATTTTTCAGGATTCTTTGATGAATAGAAAGTTTAAAAGAACAGCATTTATTTGAAATAGAAATCTTTTGTAACATTATAAATGTCTTTACTGTCACTTTTGATCAATTTAATGTATCACTGATGAATAAAAGTATGAACTTATTTAAAAATAAACAAAAACAAAAATCTTACTGACCCCAAACATTAGTGTAACTCAACAACACAACAACAAGGTGTCTGAAATCTACTATACTAGTAGTACTTTTGCAAGTCATTTTGTGGTTGAAATCTGAACTGACCCCAAAGTTGGATGCAGCGAAGCGGTCGGAGGCAGAGACGTTGTTGGAGGACTGTGTGGTGTGGGCGTAGTAAGCGTTGATGTTGGCCAGCAGCGTGCTCATGACCGCAGGAACACCGGGACACATGTACTTCGATGACAGACATGCGAAATGCCTGAACACAAACACGAACAAGGTTACTGACATTTTTTGCAATACAAGTAATTTTCAACCCAAATATTTTCCACAATAAAACCAAAATCTTTTCTGCAATACAAGTAATTTTCAACCAAAATCTTTTCTGCAATACAAGTAATTTTCAACCCAAATATTTTCCACAATAAAACAAAAATCTTTTCTGCAATACAAGTAATTTTCAACCAAAGTCTTTTCTGCAATACAGTAATTTTCAACCAAAGTCTTTTCTGCAATACAGTAATTTTCAACCAAAATCTTTTCTGAAATACAAGTAATTTCAACCAAAATCTTTTCTGCAATACAAGTAATTTTCAACCGAAATCTTTTCTGAAATACAAGTAATTTCAACCAAACTCTTTTCTGCAATACAAGTCATTTTCAACCAAAATCTTTTCTGCAATACAAGTCATTTTCAAACAAAATCTTTTCTGCAATACAAGTAATTTTCAAACAAAATATTTTCTACAATACAAGTAATTTTCAACCAAAATCTTTTCTGAAATACAAGTAATTTTCAAACAAAATCTTTTTTGCAATAAAACCAAAATCTTTTCTGCAATACAAGTAATTTTCAAACTAAATATTTTCTACAATACAAGTAATTTTCAAACAAAACCTTTTCTGCAATACAAGTAATTTTCAAACAAAATCTTTACTGCAATAAAACCAGTCTTTTCTGCAATACAAGTAATTTTCAAACAAAATCTTTTCCGCAATATAAGTAATTTTCAACCCAAGTAAGGAACGACATCACATTACAGTAATTCTGCCAGAAATCAGAGATGCTACAAACTAAAATTAAAACCATACTTTATATTTCTTGACCCTGTCGCTTAAAAGACAAAGACTTCTAATGAAATTTGAAAATGTTAAACTCACATCTCTAGTTTTCATAATCGATCGCATTTCATTGATGCTTTACATTTTATGCATCATCTACTTAACTGTAATGTTTCAAATAGTGTCACGGTCAGCTAAATATATATCAAATTTATCATCATTTTAAAGACCGGTCTTGATAGCATCCAGCTGATGAGGAATATTGATTAAACAAGGCTTGAGTTTTCCCGTTCCAGCACTGTCTGCTCTTTCTCTTTATTACTCACGACACGCACTGAGCTCAGCGTCTCCTGAGACTCGGGGTGATCAGACCTGAATCACTACCTCATTATTATGGACGTCCTCATCTTTGGTGGCTGAAAGCTAATGAGGTGTTTCCAGCAGTGCGCTCGGACTACACGCGTGGGCCATGCTACACGTGTCGGTGAACAACTCACTGACGCTCATTAACACCAGAGAAACTCAGAGGACAGAACAGATGATTGTAGTATCTGATCTCCAGCATTACTGTGAATTAAATACTAACACTAAACTCTCACTGGTCTGTAGATAACCAGTGTTAATTTAGTACCAGTGAGATACTGTTATAGTTTTTACTAATATTTTGAACCAGTTTTTATTTTTATATTTTCCATTTTTTATTTTAATGAAAGTTTTTTGTAATTTTGTGTTTGTCATTTTTAGTAGTTATTTCAATATATCTTAAATATATCTTCAATTAAAATGTGAAATGTTGCCTTTACAACCAGAAATTTAACAAAAAATGCTTTTTATATTTTATTTTAATTATAGTAATTAAAATATTGTTATTTTAATTGAAGTAATTAGCTTTTAGCTTTAGTTTCAGTTTTAGTTATCTATAATAACCCTGTAAATAAAAGACAGCAAAATGATAGAAGTATAAATATTCTAATTAAATAAAAGAAAACAAAAATTTTATTTGAGTATGATTCTTTGCTAAATTTTGCAATGCATCAACAAATGGATCACAAATTGGATTGATTGTAATTAGAACTGACTATTAAATTCAATAATGTATGTATTGGATATTGATTGTCACACCACAAATAAGGAACATTTTTATAACCCATGTTTGATGTCGTCTGAACTATATTCAAACTATTATCAATCATATGACTAACCTAACATTAAATGTACACCATTAAAAATCATACAACAAATGTCATAATTTTTATATGATCTGATCATTAATTATAGTACAAAATCTTTAATAATTTTACAAAAAAATACTACAATGTTCCTTAAAATTGTGACACAAAGAAAGTGACATAATTTGGACATTTTCTACAGCATGACTTGAAAATGATTCGTCTTCACTTTATTGTAAGAAAAATTAAATGACGTCTTAAATAATTGTCTTCATAACATGTATGTCTTCATAAGAAAAATGATCAATTTTTTCTTTAATTTAATAAAATAATAAACATAATTTGGTCATTAAGGACCCCCATCTCATATTACTTCAATCAGCAAAACTTTGCAGAGAGTAAGCAAAATAATTGCGAGTGCAAGTAAAATTTTTCCGGGAAAACTTTCAACTTTTGCAATCCAATGCAAAAGCATTGAAATATAATATTTTCCTCCTATCTTTTAATTAATTTTTTTCATCCATTTACCATTAGGGCTGGACAATAATTCAATATCAATATGTATCACGATATAATTTTTTTCAATAATGGTGATATATACACCATTAAAAATCATACAACAAATGTCATAATTTTTATATGATCTGATCATTAATTAATTATAGTACAAAATCTTTAATAATTTTACAAAAAAATACTACAATGTTCCTTAAAATTGTGACACAAAGAAAGTGACATAATTTGGACATTTTCTACAGAATGACTTGAAAATGATTCGTCTTCACTTTATTGTAAGAAAAATTAAATGACGTCTTAAATAATTGTCTTCATAACATGTATGTCTTCATAAGAAAAATGATCAACATTTTTTCTTTAATTTAATAAAATAATAAACATAATTTGGTCATTAAGGACCCCCATCTCATATTACTTCAATCAGCAAAACTTTGCAGAGAGTAAGCAAAATAATTGCGAGTGCAAGTAAAATTTTTCAGGGAAAACTTTCAACTTTTGCAATCCAATGCAAAAGCATTGAAATATAATATTTTCCTCCTATCTTTTAATTAATTTTTTTCATCCATTTACCATTAGGGCTGGACAATAATTCAATATCAATATGTATCACGATATAATTTTTTTCAATAATGGTGATATGATTTTAAACACATTTCCGATATTTCGATATACATTACCAGTGTTTCCCATGCATTGATTTATTTGTGGCATTTGATTTCATTGAATAAACGAGCACTGCACGTTTCAAAATCAAAACACGGCGCGGGTGTTTTATATGAATGTATCTCTGAAGGGAAGCGATATTCATACATTTTCATTTTAATCTGATAAAGTAGCGTTCGTGAGCGAAGCTGATTTGATTACAGCCGTTACTGTGGAAACTGCTAGTTTTTCACTCTAAAAGCGCCTCCTGCTGGCAGAGAATGAGTTTGCATTTTCAATAAGCCCGTCTCCAGCAACATTTCCAGTTTTTGTTGTTGTTCAATTTTTTTGTTTTCTGCAGCGACTCGGAGCACTTCTCATTCCCTTTTTTCTGGCTGAAGCACATTTGTTTCAATCTATAAGAATAATCAGCCGACACTACCAGTCAAAAGTCTTTGAACTGTAAGATATTTAATGTTTTAAGAATTCTTTTCTGCTCACCAAGGCTGCATTTATTTGATCCAAAAGTACAGCAAAAACAGTAAAATTTTGAAATAATTTTACTATTTAAAATGGCTTTCTATTTGAATAGATTTTAAAATGTAATTTATTCCTGTGATGTAAAGCTGAATTTTCAGCATCATTACTCCAGTCTTCAGTGTCACATGATCCTTCAGAAATCATTCTAATATGCTGATTTGCTGATTATAAATATTTAAAACAGTTGAGTACATTTTTTTTAGGATTCTTTGATGAATAGAAAGATCCAAAGATCAGCATTTATCTGAAATAAAAAGCTTTTGTAACATACACTATTACATTCAAAAGCTTGGAGTCAGTATCATTTTTATTTATTTATTTATTTTTGGGAAATTAATAATTATATTTAGTAAGGTTGCTTAAAATTGATCAAAAGTGATGAATAAGGCATTTATAATGTTACAAAAGATTTCTATTTCAGATAAATAGTGTTCATATCGATATCGGAATTATATCGTATCGACCGAAATTAAGAAATATATCATGATATTAATTTTGGCCATATCGTCCAGCCCTATTTTCCATTAGGGGCCCCACAGGACAACAACTTTTGACGATTAACTTTTAGTAGGTTAACTGATCATATGCTGGAAAGACGAACTCTTTCATGCATTCAGTTGTTTGTTCGTTCGTTCTCTGCTTACGTCATGGCCTGATAGATCGATTCCACTCCGTATCTCATGGCGAACTCGTCCACGATCTCCTGCGCCGTCTCATCGAAGTACACTTTCCAGGCGTCATCGCCTTTAGCATCTGGGATCTTCACCACGCCGCTGTTCTGCTTCTCTGTGGTGTAGTGGAAGATGTGCTGCAAAGCACCATGGGTAGAAGACTCAGTTATCGATAAATTCAGAAGATGAAGCTCTTTACACTGATTTAGTTTTACATCACGTCCTAACCAGGTGTGAGCGATGAGTTTCCAGCAGGGTTATTATCATTAACTAGAACTAGAATTGAAATTGAAATAAAGCTGAAATAAAATAAAATATAAATATCAGATGAAATAAATAGAAAGGTTGCCTTGGCAACATTAAAAAGAAAAATGACAAAAGCACATAACCAAATTATTAAAAATAAAATGAATTAAAATTAAAATTAAAAATATAAATTATTTAGATAATTAAATTTAATTAGAAGGGCTTTTGTCGTTAACTAAAAATAAAACTTAAAAAAAACAAAGCTGAAATAAAATCAAATATAAATATTAGATGAAAAACTTATAAATATAATAAAAATGTTGCCTTAGCAAATAACTGAAATAAGTTTACAGTTTTTTTCCAATTGCTAACATGCCTTTGTCCAATCTGTAGTCACATTTTCAAAACTCTATTAGCACAACATCCGTCTGTTGTGACCATACCATTAACACAATTCATGTTGTTTTCACACAATATTCAGTCAATTAACACGTTTCTAAAATGTGTTAATTTTCTTTTCACACAAGCTTACCCCATACCAAAATCATGGATCTTTCTTATCTTTTTTTACAAATGCTTAAACACAGCATGTCAGAAATGAAGACCTAATGTTCCAAACCTTAAATATAGTGTAAAGCCTCTACTTCTGCAACAACAGCAGCAGCTCAAAAGTATTGAAATGTAATAATTGTAATGTTATTTAAAGGTTACAAAAATGTTTCTTACAACCTTCTACTAACTGTATTTTTTTTTACAAAATATAACGCTGCTTGAATCTTAATTTAAAAAATTCTAAGAATGTTAAAAAGTTTCCTTGTTGTGATTATGATTTGAAGGTAACAAAAAATGTTTCTTAGAATGTTCATCAAGTACAAATAACATCATAAGGACGTTCTGATAATGCTGATCTCAGAACGATTTCTCTCAACGTTTTGAAAATGTAAATCAAATTAATAAAAGTTGTAAGAATGTTCCATAAACATTACTTTAAGAATGTTTTGTTCTAACATTTATATACACTGCAAAAAAAATGCTTTTCTAGCTTAGATCTTTTGTCTTGTTTCCAGCCAAAATATCTAAAAGTTCTTAAATCAAGAAGGATGTTTTAGACAAGTAAAAATTATTGTCTTGTTTTCAGAAAAAACAAGTTAAAATTAAGTGAGTTTTTGCTTAAAACAAGCAAAATAATCAGCCAATGGGGTAAGCAAAATAATCTTATTTCAAACAGATATCAAGATTACCCCACTGGCAGATTATTTTGCTTGTTTCAAGGAAAAACTCACTTAATTTTAACTTGTTTTTTCTGAATTTTTAGATATTTTGGCTGGAAACAAGACAAAAAATCTAAGCTAGAAAAGCATTTTTTGCAGTATAACTTTTAAAAAACCTTAGTGAAAGTTGTGAGACAGTTCCCTGTTAGCTGGGTTGATGCATCAAAAACATGCACTATATCTAAATATAATGTTTAATAAGTGTAATTTTTGCATGTACCTCATGCAGGCAGGTGTACTGAACGTGGTACGGAGACACGGTCTCCTCTCCTTTGATCTCCACACTGATGTGCATGCGGATCGCTCCAGAAACAGCCGACTTATCCGTGCGCTTGTCTGTGCAGAGAGGAAGAGAGAGTCTAATAATTCCTCCAAGATCATATTCATAGAGATCAGGGCTGTCAAATTTTTTTTCGAATTTCGAACATTCGTCGAATTTAAAATAAAAATCCACATTCGAATGCAACGAATCTTAGGTGTGCGTTAAGGAGGCAGCCTTATCAGTGGCGCATGAGACGCGATGACGATGTAAGTGTCGTTGCATTTTAATGTTTTTGTTAGCCTATCCAGTTGAAGGCACTAGATGCGGCGCTGCTGCGTTGTTCATTCAAAATATTGAGGGAAAAGAGAACATCAATGCGGAGAAGATCTTGTTTACGTCAGAACTGAAACCAAGCCGTTCACACAGAATGCATATTTCACGCATTTTCTAGAGGGACATCTATCACAGTTGCACTCGCGTCTCGCACAAAGTGAGCCGCATGTTTAGAAAGCCATGTAAAATTAATGCAAGTTCAACATTAAAAAAAACATCTTGAGACTTTATGGCGGGGTTTTTTCTCATCCCACTGCAACTCGTGTTTTTAAATGAAAAATGTACTCTGTGTGATTGGCTTTCGTCCCTTTGTATTAAACTATGCATACATGCATGATGCTGTTTTGTTTATAGTTGTTTAAGCAACTTAATTATAATTGGTTTATAAACATTATTTTAAACATTATGCACTTTTTTCACAGATAGTCATGTTATCTTATGCTTTGAATAAACGTGCTATAACGTAATATTTTGCTCGATGCGCCCTCTTGTGGCCTCAGGAGAGAAGCCAAAAGCTTTTCTTCACCCTAACTGAAATTATGCATTTTAAATTTGAATATAATTCGAATTTTGATCATATTAAAGTAAAAAATTCGAATTTAGTTTATCAGCCATTTCGGCAGCCCTAATAGAGATGCTGCTAAAATAACCATGCAATGACTCTGACACACCGAGGTTGTACCAGACGTCCATTTCTCCACTCAGCGTTCGCACTTCAATGATAGTCTGTCCCAGGAAGTCATCAGACTCCCGCTTGAACCGCTGCTTCACGCGAGACTTGATATCATCGTCCTCGTCCCAGACGCGCACCTTTATCCGGTCGGAAGAGTTATGACACTCACTGCACACCAGAGACAAAACCTGGGTTATCATCGTTGACTAAAAATAAAACTATTTAAAAAAAAACATATTTATTACTTGAAACAAAATAAACTTCAACTGAAAAAAAAAAAAAAAAAAATTATTTTAGCTAGTTGCCGAGGCAACATTTCTCATTTTCATTTAGTTGAACTAATAAATAACTATAACTAAAAAATATAGACATATTAAAAATCCCCAAAAACCAACAAAAATTACAAAAACAAAAAAAGACAAAAAAATTACAAAAACGTAACTAAAATAAAATGAAAATACAAAAATTAAAAATCTAATTCAGAATATTAACAAAAAATATAATAGTATCTCAATGATACTAAAATGTCCCTGCTTGATATAAAATAAACTTTACCTGAAATAAATTAACATATTTATTTCAGTTAGCTGCCATGGCAAATTTTCTCATTTTCATTTGGTTCAACTTGAGGTACTAAAATAACTAAATCTTAATAAACTAAAACTAAAAAACAGAAACTTAACAAAAACGATATAGACATATTTACAAAAAATGTAATAAAAATGACAACATAACTAAATTACTAAAACTTTATAATAAAAAATTATAAAAAATGAACAAAAAAATGAAAATATAAAAAATAATATTATATTATAAAGTTTAAAATATGGGTATTTTTCTCACATAAATGCATCAATTCGCTTCAGGAGGCCTTTATTCACCCCCCTGGAGCCGTGTGGAGCACTTTTTATGATAGATGGATGCGCTTTATTGGACTTCTATTGGACTATTGAAAAATATCACCCATTCACTGCCATTATAAAGCTTGGAAGAGCCAGGACATTTTTAATACAACTCCGATTGCATTCGTCTGAAAGAAGAAAGTCATATACACCTAGGTTGGCTTCAGGGTGAGTACATTTTGGGGTAATTTTCATTTTTGCGTCAACTATCCCTTTAAGAAAGTTTTGTTTTATGTATTTTTTGCATGAATTCTTGGCTGAATAAGGTTCTGAATAAGGAACTCTAGGTTTTAAAAGCCCTTTAAAATTAATATGTACACAGTTTGGATTAAATGAAAGTATAGTCAAATTTTTTAATTAGCATGTTTTTGTGTTTTTTTTGTGTCCACCGAGAACCGTGGATTTTCACTGGTATTGGTACCGAATACTGAAATTTTGGTACCGTGACAACACTACATCTCGGTATTTTCGTCTTTGTATTTGGATTAAAAAAATCTGTATTTTATATATATAAATTTCACTTACCACCCAATGTTGTCCAACAAAACAATTCATAGGCTATGAAAACAAATAAGGTGAATGTAACCATGTAAGCCTTTATATTATGTGCAAAAAAGGGTTAAAATCACATTTCATTCTAACATTGTAACATTGCAATCTAAAAACAAAAATAAGGCTTTTAAAGCAGAAGTTAAATTCACTAAACTAAAAATGAAAATAAATGAGAACAAAAGCACAGAGTTGTGTTAGGCTCTTTTGATCACCGCATTACAGTCACTTTACAGTCATTGCTATCATAAAAATAGGCTTACTTGTAGGTTTAAAATTCTAATTGTCACATTTATTGTCCAACTACAAATATTTCAGCGAAATGTATATTTTAGTAAGAATTATTGTGCTGATATTTAATTGAGCTCTGTCTGCTTGGCACTCATTCACTGTTGTCTGTGAAGTTTAGCGGAGAATCGCAAAGCAGAAGGCTCATGCACTTCTGACAGAAAATTTGAAATATTTTCATGACTTTCTAACATTTACAGATGGAGAATATACCTGTGAAATGTAAGTTATGCATTCAGGAAGACATCACATCTCAAACACATTAAACAGA